GGCCCTCGTGCCAAGTTTCGTGCTTCGGCACGGGGATTCTACCCGCCACTGCCCGGGCCCGTAAGCTGAAGGCTGAAGCCGACGCACTGGCTCGATCCCTTCCTCGTGGCCCAGCCCAAAAGAGGTGTTTTCTCGTGCTTTAAGCTCTGGTGGGTTCATTACCGTCCCGAGTTTAGTATCGGGTTTTAGATAAATTCTTTGCGATAATCTTGCAGTATCGTTCCAATTTTATCGGATGCCTCCGAAGAGACCTACTAGTTTAAACCAAACAAACAAGTATTAACGTGAAATAGAGAACGGTCAGCAAACGGTCAGCAGTTGCTTTTCCCCGAACGCAAACCCTAAGGCTTTGTTTGGTTCGGAGGAAATGGAGGGGAGGGGAAGGGAGGGGAGGGAAATTTTTATTTTTTCCTTGTTTGGTTCGATTTTAAGTAAGGGGAGGGATTAAGATTTTCCCTTCAAATCCCTTGGAGGAGGGAAAATACACACCCCTCCAAAAGTGGGGGAATTTGGAGGGGAGGGAAAATTTTTAACATCAAATTACTCTTTTGACCTTATTGTGAATTATTTTATTTTTTTTTTCTTACATCATTAAGGATATATTTGTCATTCTAACATTATTTTCCCTCCCCCTCCATCTTCTAACCAAACAAGGTTAATCATTTTTCTTCACCTCCCTCTCTACAAAATCCATCCAAACAAGGTAAAATATTTTCCCTCCCTTTCCCTCCCCTCCCCTCCCTTCCATTAAATTCCCTCCCCTCCCCTCCCCTCCCGTGAACCAAACATAGGCTAACAGAACACAAGCACAAATCAAATTGCTACCTATGGAAGCAGAACGGGAGCGGAACTCAGCAGGAAAAGAAGCAATTCAACCTGAATCAGACAAGAAACGGCGGAGGAGATCAGATGACGAAGGAGATGGCGACATCGATAATGACGACCAGCTTTCGTGTGAAGGCGGCGGCGACGACGATAACGATGATGGGCTTTTGTATGAAGGTGATTCCGACTCTGACACAGATGACGATTTCACTACGAAGCATAAGGTTGTTGAAAGAGCTTTCTGGGACAACGCAAACTCTCCCATGGTCCAAGAAGAAGATGGTGAAAGGAATTGCCTCAATGTAAGTCGATGCCACAAAGACAGTCACAAAGCAAAGTTCGACGGATTAGTCATTTTCGAACTGTACAAAGTCATAGTCAAATTGAACGACAAAATCCGCAGCACCCCCTTGCTCAACAGCCGAATCTACGGTGAAATCACGAAACCGGCATCGGAGTATTTGGATTACAATCCGGTACCGATACATTATTACAGGGCGAGCCAAAAGAAAGCTGATACTATTGATCTTGACCCGTATGCCCTTCTTCCCCTGTCTGGCGCTGAACCCAGACCCCCAATGCGCGAAGAAACTGGAGTATATATGTATTTTGCTTTCAAGATCAATGATGAGGATGTACTAGTTACTTTTAAAGGTGATGATCATGTGAATCGCGACCTATTTGCAGGTGATGGTGTATCTAAGTACTGCACTTTCAATGTTTCTGCACTCGATGAAAGTTACTTGGACGAGTATGGTC